TTCAAACAGTAAACTCCTTCCTGGAATGGCACCCAACCAAGCCCTTTCCCATCAGTATAGTAGGCATCTGTGCTTGGATCCCTATCTGGCTGTTGCCTGCCATGTGGAGGGAGTCCCTTTGGAGTAAAACCCTGTAATGTTTCTGCATATTACAACTGTAAGAGGCTGAATTTTGCTGCTGTTCACCATTCCACCATCTTGATTCTCTATGACTGTTCTTTTGCTTTCTCAAGGAGGCTTTATTGTGAAGTCATGCTTGATTATATATTGGCTACTAGTGATCAACTCAATCTTTAGCTCCTCTCCCCTCCCTGGTTATTAAGGGTGATTCAGCTAAAAATTCTAATCTTTTAATTATAGAGTTGATTTTCCTGGTAAATATCCTCTATCTTGACACAATCCAGAAGTCCAATGACTCACCTCATTGAAACAAAAGATAATCCTATCACCCAGGAAACTTTCCTTTTCCAGAAAAGGAAATGGATTTAGAAGCTCTGTGTTAGATGTACCTATCACTCCAGAAATTTCAAAGATCTTAGGGGCCATGTCCGGAACCACAGTCAAAGATCAAAAATATATGTTATAGAATCCAATGCAGTATAGAAGACTTGAATATACATATGTTTGATATATGTGATTTTTTTTTGTACTAGGGATATATGTAATTTTTCCTCCCATGCTAAGGATTGAACTCAGGGGCTTACATGTACTAGATAAGTACCATACAACTGAGCTATATTCCCAGATTTTAAAAATTTCATTTTGAGACATGGTCTTACTAAGTTGCTCAGAGTGGCTTCAAACTTGTAATCCTCCTGCCTTAGCCTCCCAAGTACCTGTTGTCTACCATGCCTGACTGATATATGTGATTTTTTACATAGTAAATACTCTATAAATTTTTTGCTAAGTGCATTAATGAACAGATATATAAAAATGCTATTAAAATCTTGGTCCCAACACTATGGGAGTTTACATTTTAAAACTGATAATGTCATTTGTTTTCATAAAAACATGCATGGAATTCCTTCTTGCTAAGAACTTCATCAAAATGTAGTCTACTTTCTCTGTCTCTGTAACTTAACATTCATTCTTCATCTTTTGCCATTGTTATTCTGTTGATTATTGTAGTTAAATAATCCTTAGTTGTAGAACGAGAGTAGAGGGGAAGGGAAACAAAAAAGAATTAAGATGTGTTATGTATATGTACCAGTTCCCTAAAATGAATATAATTATTATGTACCACAAACATGTACTAATAAAAATTTTTAAAAATTAAAATAGGAAGAAGAAAATTGGCTTTTTTTATTTAAAGAAAAAAGCCAGATATAAAGGGTAGAAACAATACAGAATTTCAGAAAAATAAGCAGTAAGAAATCACTAGTCGATAAGTTACAGACCGTCATCTTAGTTTCTCAAGTTACAAATTTAAAGCATACAAAGTGATAGTCAAACAATGACACTGCAAACAGTTCTGCTCAAGAACTGATCCAACAAGAACTTAGTAATATGGTTATCAGTCCCACGTACTTGTTTTTTATCTTAAAGAGGGTAAGAATTAAACATAGCAAAACAGAACAAAACAGTTTATAAGGAAACAATTTAAAGAAACATAGATTTCAAAGCAAGTCCACGGGAGATCTTTACTGTCTGTCTTATTGTCTCTAGTTTTCTTCCAAATAGTTGCCATCTTCACACACAGTGAATACATACTGAACATTATAGAACTAATCTGATCATAACAGGGTGATGAAGGCTTTTTAGGTCTTCAAGACCTGACATTGGGGAAGTCAATAGTGACTGCCATAATGTCCCTCATTCTCTTCATAGTAGCTGTCCTTATCTTTACGTACGCTGAAATTGAACATAAGGGACTAGATTGATATCACTCTGAACAGTAAATAATAGTTTTGCTAGATTTTTTATCATAATGTTACAGAATTAGCACTGGGTTTCTTAGTGTCTCTTCTTCTTCAGAGTATCTGTTCATTACATCGTGCATTATATAATCTGTTCCTGTAAACTGTTTAGAATTCTACCCATGTATGAATCTCTACATGTATATCTATCCTTTCTATATGAGACATAGTTTTTCTGAGTTGTTACACTGCCTATCCAAGTCTGGGCTTGAACTTGTGATTCTTATGCCCCAATCTTCCAGATTGCTGGAATTACAGATTTGTGCCACTACACGTGCATATTGGTCAATCTTAATTGTAACATTTCCTAATACAAACTCATTGTTTCATTCCTTAAATCTATTGTTGTTTCTTTTTCTTATTTTACTTAATGGTATCATCATCCATTCAGTTTTCTGAATATAAAAAGAACAATCAGAGAGCCATTAGTTACCTCTCCTTAACTCAGATTGAATTATGGCCCAACCCTAATGATTATATCTTTTTAGCATGGATTTCACAAGAAAAAGAACCTGATCTAAGACTTAGATGCAAGTCCATTGGCTAGTTGTTTCTAGGATACAATTGCAAGGGAGTAGATGTGAAGGAAGCCAAACTAATGCTTTATTGGGCAGGTTACACTATGCGCAACTAAGACTCAGTACCACTGTGAAACTCGGAAACCATATAGAACCTACCTCAGGAATCTCTCATGTAAGGGGCTGTACACAACTGCCTATCTATCATTAGTTGAAGACTTCTCCTGTGAGTATTATCTCCCAAACACTTTGCAAGGGCTTTGCAGTCAGAAGCTATCTGTATGTACTAAAAAAGTAAACCTGGGGGGATGTAATTGGGGTATTTACACAGTCTAGCGGGGCCATGACTAGAGAAATGGATTTACCTTAGGTATAGCATTTACCTTCTTTCTTCCTCAAGTCCTTTACACTTCCAGCTCATCCTCCATGTTGCTGATGATGCTAAGGGTTCTCTACCACTGAGCAATATACATGCGGCCCCTGGAAGTTAACCTTTAAAGACACCGATGTTTGATAAAATCTGTCCTCTACATAAAAAGCACAAAATAAAGTCTAAGCTCCTTGATTTAGCATGCTTAATTGTGTACATGTTGACTATAGTTTGTTTTTTACATTGAGGGTCTCACTGTGTTGCCCTAACTAGGCTCAAACTCACAACCCTATAGCCTCAGCCTCCTAAGTAGCTAAAATTAACAGGCATGCAATTGCCCAGCTTTATACTGTTACGACCTTAGCCTCATCTTTTGTCACTGTCTTCTACCTAACTATGCTGTTACATGAACATTTCACTTTTTGAAATATTATACCCTTGAATATATTATTCCTTCTTCAACTAACACTCTCCCACCTCCATCCCGCAGCCCTGATGAAATTTCTTACTAATCTTCTAAAATTCAATTTGGAAACCTCTTTGTAAAAGCTTCCTGGACAGTCCTGAGAAAATTGCTTATTCTTTTCTGTACAGTGGCACTTAATATGTCCTACTCCTGCACTTAGCAGGTTGAATTGCATTGTTTCTCTCACTAATCTGGAAATTCTCCAAAGAGAGGCCTTTTTAACCCCAACATCTTTCTACATACAGGTTATTGGGTTGAAAGTATTAGTACATACAAACAGAACAGATTTAAAAGAAATGGAAACTTCTTAGCGATTTCAGGAGGTGGATACTATTGGCAAAGACTATATACAGTTGAGAACTATCACAAAAATTTGTATTTAATATTTATGAACCACTTTTAAAATATTTTTGAGGCAACTGTTTTTGTGTTGGAATCTACTGTTTCCAAAGAGAAAATTTTTATTTACTCAACTAGAATATGTACTTTTTTGATATAAAAGACAGTGAATATTCCAAAGTGTTAAATTAATATTATTTGAAATTAAAGAGTGCCTAGATTGTAATTGCTTTAGGGGCAGAGATATAGTATACATAATTTACTCTTTGCCTAGCACCTAGTCCCTGTCTACGCAAGTTATCAAATGATTTTTGGTACAGATACAATGAAGTGGGGATCCGTTAAATTGTTCATTTCCTCAGTATGAATAAATTAACCAACTGAATTTTATATTCCTCCCCCAACTCTCCCCCATCTTAATAGTAATTAAAGAAATTATTATTTTATTATGTCTTTCTTGTATGAATTAGGTAGCGATCAAAATTTCACTTTCTCTTACTTTGACTATTATTTCAAAAATTAGTAAGGATAATGATATTAAAAATGAATTGCATTACCAGTGATGGATTTTTTAAAAAATGCTAACAGTGACTATCACTATAAATTTCCTTATTTTCCTGAGTACTAACTCACACTGGCTGATCTAGCTTTGGTCAGTAACAACAGTAATAACAGTAGTACAGTTTGAAAAGTTTTAACTTATGACCATTCAATAGAATGGTGGGGTGCTGTGAGGGTGAGAGTGAGGGAGAGTTTAATCTTCCAGGGTATTTTGTTATTGTTGTTGTTGTTGTTGTTTAACATTTTCTCTCTCTGTTATTAGTACTGGCCTGGAAATACTTACCCATACAATTTGTTGATATTTTTAGTGGACCAGATGAATGAATCAGTATCCCAAGAGGAATCCAAATCTGCTCAGGTTGCTATTTTACAAAGATTTCTAATCATTTGGGAAAGGATTTAACTCAGATGTTGTAGAGAAACCTGTAATCTGAAACCTGAATCTGGAGGTGCAGGCAAGAGGATTGAAAGTTCAATCCTATCCTGGGTAATTTAGCAATTTAGTGAGACCCTGTCTTAAAAAAAAAAAAAAAATCAAGTGGTTGGGGAGTTGCACCTCAGATTTTGACAGAAATGTGTGAAACAAGGTCCAAATAATAGTTGCATCATGGTGACCCACCACTAGTTGGTTAGCATGTTAGCGTTCTCTAATTATCCTTAATTCCTTAACTGTTCGATTTGTATAAGCACTTTGTATAATTTTGCTTAGAATGATATTCACTCATTATGTGAAAGTTTTAAAGCTAAAAATTTTGCTATAGTGGAGTATACAATGCTAGATTAACCACCAGCTCTTTTCACACCATTGAATAACACTTTTTCTATTTCAGGAAAAACAGAACTCAACTGAAGTACAAGCGCCCACTGAGGTAAGTTGTCATAAATAATCAGATGTTAATCCTGGAGAGTAAACTAGATAAATTAATTTTTTATGAATAAGGAAAAGAAAAATTGAGTGTTCAAAAAGGTAAAATAGTAAATGGAAAATTGCAAATTATGTTGTTAAAATGACTCATTTCAATCATAGGAAGCTTTCATAGGTAGGTACAACATTTGTGAGGAGCTAATATAAATTATAGATAAATTAAGCTTGCTTTCTAAAATCAGTTATTACCATAAGTACAGTAAGCACTCATTTCTTGAGTAACATCACTAAAAATATAATTTCTATGTTAATAATTTAAGTAATTTTGTGTGCAAATAAATATAAATTACTTTGGTGAAAAATTACAATGTTGAAAAGGAAGCAGTTCAAGATTAGAAAATGCAGAAACAACTCTAGATACACTAAGCTACCTTATCTTTGACAAAGGTGCTAAACACATTCATGGAAGAAAAATAGCCTCTTTAATAAATGGTGCTGGAAAAACTGGCCTGCGCATGCCAAAGATTAAAATTGGAGACATATCTTTCACCAAGTACTAAATGAAATTCAAAATGGATCAAAGATTCAGATAATACGGGGCTGGGAAAAAAGACAAAAAAAAGATTCAAATATTAAAATAGAAACATTAAATCTGTTGGAAGATAGAGTAACTTTTAGAGTTTTACTCTTGAGGACATTGGTGTAGGCAAAGACTATGACTAACACCTCGATCACAAGGAACTATCACAAAGAATCAACAACTAGGATCTCATCTCTTGCACAGCAAGAGAAACAACCAACAGAGTAAAGAAACAATCCACAAAATGTTTGACAGCTGTTCCTTGGACAAAGGATTACTATTGAGAACATACAAAGAACTCAAAAACAGACTTCCCAAATTTAAAGACTCAATCCAAAAGAGGTCATCTGAGGTGAATACACACTTATCAGATGAAGAAATATAAATGGCAAATAAATACATGAAAAAATGTTCAGCATTACTGGTCATTCAAGGAATGCAAGTTAAAACAACACTGAGAGTCCACCTCACTCTGAAAAGAATGGCTATTATCAAGAAAACAAGCAATAACAAATGCTGAAGGAGCTGTGAGGAAAAAGGAATCCTTTGCCACTATTGGTGAGAGTGTAGGCTGGTGCAACCACTGTGGAAATCAGTGTGGAGATTCCTCAAAAAAAAACTAGGATTGGAGTTCCCATTTCACCCAACTGTTCCCCTTCTGAGGGTATTCATGGAAGCATTAAAAACATCATATCACAGTGATATATGTGTACCTATGCTAATAACAGCACAATTTGTAATAATTAGATCTTGGAAACCACCTAAATGCCCATCCAAAGAATGGATAAAAAAGATGTGGTATTTTTATACAATGGAGGACTACTCAACCATAAAGAAGGATAAACTTCAGACTTGTATAGGTAAATAGATGCAACTAGAGACCATACTCATGCTGGAAATAAATAGGACTTGCGCGTGTAAACATTGTATAGTCTTGAAAGAAAAATATATATATGATAGTTATACTACCAATTTCTCTTAGTTAATTGAAAAGAAAGGTTTATGTAGTATTGTTTGGACAATTAAATGCAGATAACTTGTACTCTGAGTAGCTAATTTAAAGATAACAATACTTGATATATTAATTATTATTATCCTCTAATTACCTTGTTTTGAAATTTTGTTTTTTTCTCTTTAAAATAAAAAAGGAAGCAGTTCAAAATAGTTAAACAGATTCAAACTAATTAAGTGATATGTTTTAAAATATTCTGTTTTTAAAGTATATCAGCAAGAGTACAAAAAGCTATTTTGCCACCATTATTCATAAAATTAATCTTTAAGTTTTTCAATCAAAATAAAATATTTTTCTTTCTACACACATATGTAAAGTGGTGCTAATAGCTTAAAAAGAGGCATTTTCAAATGTTTGATTCCATAATAATACATTCTCAAATTGTATTTATGGTGAGTACTGTATGATTCAAGGATTAATATACAACTGAAATATACAACTTCCAGCATGCTGTTTTGTTAGCAATAGGAAGATAAAGTGACATGTTGAGTCAAACATTTTATTTCCTGAATGCAATAAATTATAAGTATTGCTTTTCTTCTAAAATACAACATTAAATCCTCAAAAAAGGAAGTAGGAGTGTTTAGCAAACTTACAAAGAAATTAATTCCCCTTTAATATGAGAGTTAATGCAACTTGGAAGGAAAACAACTTGTTTTGAAATTGGTGTTTCTTTTCTCCTTTCAAAGAGTTCACAGACTGTACGAGATGTCTCTGCAACAGAAACCAGCAACCATGTGGCAGAAGATGAAATAAAATCCCAAGGTAGAGCACTAACTATGCTTTTTATACAATAAAATCTAAGTGAAACATTACCTTTCTAATTAGAAATGTATTCTTCAAAATTTTTCATTTGAAAAATATAAGCTTGGGGGTTATTTTAAATGTAATTTGAGAAACAGTTCAGATTCCTTTCACCCTCTGTTAACACTTTTGAGACAACTTGTAATTAATTATTCATCTTTTCTTATTAGAAAAAAAATTTAGTGAAAAGATTTGACTGATGCCTAGCAGACAAACACTAATATGAAAAGAAAGTGAATTGTAGTGATTTGGGCTGTTTATTGTTCTTGATCCTTGTTACGAGTTAGATCTAAAATGTCCCCCCAAACTTTGAAGTGTTCAGAGGTGGGATTTTGGAAAGTGACTGGATCATGGGGGTGCTAATACTCATCAAGCAACTAATACATTAATGAGTGCATAGCTGAATATGCTGACAGGATCTGTGGCCTGGGAGGAAAAAGTGAGCCACTGGCAGAATGACTTGGAAGAGTGCATTGTTATACTAGCTCCTCCTTTTCTCCCGCTTCCTGGCTTCCATGAGTTGTTGGACAGCTCTTTTCAAACATACCCGTTCTGCCTCAGAACCAGAAAATCATGGGCTAAAACTTCTAAATTGTAAGCCAAAATAAACTTCTTTCCATTTAACTTGTGGGAGTTGGTTATTTTGTTCCAGTGACAGGAAAGTGACAGATACAGTCATGTTTATTATTTCACTACAAAATTTGACCACATATTTATACTGTTTGATCTAAAACTTGACTCCTAGCTTCACCTTTTTTCACAATTTCACATAATTATGCAGATTGAAAATTTATAGGATGAAGAAGGTAGCAAATAAGTGGATAAGACATTCATCTCTTTCACTCTAGTCACTTCTAATTCCAGAGATTTAGTGACAATCTGTACTAACAAAACTTTACAGTACTTAAAATATAACAATTTGACTTTAAGTTACCTTCAAATCAATTTGATTGGTGTGATTATTGCTTAGCAACGTTTTATGTCCAAGCATACTAGAAAAGTACTAGCAGGCTGCAATGAAGATAGAGAATGCCCTAGTTCACACATTAGGTCACTAAGTATGTTTAGTATGTTTAGTATGTTCTAGGCTAGGTTAGGCTGAATTATAGTAATAATTTCAAAGTATTTTCTAAACCATAAATTTCTGTATAAATACCAATTATCACGTTTGAGTGCTTACTCTTTTCTAAAGTGTTTTTCTGTCTTTTAAACCAATTAAGAGCAGTCATTTACCTTTTTTTCATGTTTCTACACATTAAGAAGTAAAGTTTATAACCTTTGGTTTGTCTTTCTTATAAACAGTACTATTGTCACATTTTCACTAACTTTTAAACTTTTTATTCCTTACAAGTTTTTATCTGTCCTCCTCTACCTGCCCTAACACTATACATACTGATTTTACCTTTTCCTTCCACTACCCTTCCTCTATTTTGCCTTTACTTTAATCACTTGGGCCAGCTTTGTAAATTAACTTTGTTTTGTTTGTTTGTTTGTTTGTTTGTTTTTTTGTCTTTTTAAGACAGGGTCTCACTATGCAGATCCGGCTGGCCTTGAACTTAACTTTGTAGCCCAGGCTAGTCTTTAACTTGCAATAGTTATCCTGCCTCAGCCTTCTGAGTGCTGAGATTACAGGTGTGCACCCCCACACCTAACTAACTCTTTCATTTTAAACATACTAAAGAGAATTATGATCAAGATAATTTGCTATAAATTTAATTAGGTGTTCACTTTAATTTGCTTATGATCAAATTTGTATCTGTAAAACTTCACATATGTAGTCACATGTAATTTATTGCCACCCCAGAAAAATATCAATTAAAAGTTTGTGAATGTTCCTGTTCTGGTACATATTTTCAATTTATCTTATTGGCTTTTAGTTGAGGTAAGTGTGTTTTGTTTGTCTTTTCATTATAGTATATGGTAATTGCTCAAAACATTGTGGTTGCTGGTGCTATCAAATGCAGTGCAGTGTACTTTTCTTCAGTGATAAGTAACTATAAAACTTTATATTCTGACTCCTTACTTTCTAAACATCAATATATATGTTTTATATAGATATAAAATTTAGTATGTATGTGTAAAAGAAGTAGGAAGAGGAACTTTTGACATGTCAAAGGAAGTGTCATAATCCTTGTTATATACTTGTCAAAATTAAAGTGACATTACTTTGCTAAGCAGCTCCCAAAATATACTTATATCCTTGTATTTGCATGGAAAATAGTGTATCATATTAATTCTTAATCTCAGTTATTCTCCATGTGTGTCTACGAGTTTAACTTCTATTTTAAAGGGTACTTTTAAAAAATATCAGTTTTCCCAGTTCTGTTCTTGTTATACAAGCTTTAAACTTAACAAAGTTTTGTAGAAAGCTGCCTTTTCCAGTAGCAACTGAATTTTAGTTCTAACCATGTTCAGTAGTGCTTTTCTTCCTTTTCTGTAGCAATTTACATTATGCACAGTTGTTGAGAAATCCTGTTGTAAGGACAAGGCTGCTCCATTTCAGATAGATCCTGTGTTTAAAAAAACATTGTACAGCTTGTTGAATAACTCTTCTGCATCAGTTCTCACTAGTTTCATCAGCAGCCAATTCCACTAACATTATATAACATTAGAAAGAGCCTGCTAAGACTTACTATAATGTGGATTATAATGCACTGCCATTTATGTCCTTAAATAGATTTGCTGCTGAGGCTATGCCTGGCAGTGATCTGTGCACTATGTGCAGGAAATAACAAAAGTCACTTACGAGGCTAGATCTTTCAAATTATGAGTAAAGAGTTCTTTTTCTACCTACTTACTTTGTTGAAAGCATTTATGCCCACAGTGCCTGGATAAGTTTTTGCATGTTAGAACATGGACTAGTAGATAACTGAAGGTATGAGAGCTGGGGGAGAACTTCAAAGTCTTAATTCTAGGAAGATTTTATAAAGTATATCCTGAAGAAGTAATCTAGTGCTTAGCATGTGCCCTGGTACATAGTAAGAAATCAATAATTGTTTAGTGAATGTATAAAGGAATCAATCAATTTATCTGTAGAAGGTTTAGGGATATACAAGCTCAGACCTGATGAAAAACCCAATACTTGTTTGAAGCTATATTTAATTAAGCCTCTAAACTAATTTGCCCTTGAGGCAGTTCTGTAATTTGTGGTCCTTGAATTCAGAGGTCACTCAGTCAAAAGGCAGTTTCAAATAGGCTTTTTCAGAATCTTGATTTATTGACCATGCTATTGCTATGCCTCTTTTTCCTTTCTTGGTTTTATAGCTCTGAGAGAGAAGTGTTTGACTACAGTTGTAACCAAACACATGTCTACTTCCATTCTGTGTATATCAGGGGGACAATGCAAGCACTAGGATTATTGCTTAGCAACCTTTTATGGCCAAGCACACTAGAAAAGTACTAGCAGGCTGCAATGAAGATAGAGAATGCCGTAGTTCACACATGAGGTTACTAATGAGCTATGGCAGATGGGTAGATATTAAATTACTGTACATCTGTAGCAATATCCTTAAAGCAAGCAAAGATATATCTGCCTTGGTTTGTGCTAGACAGATTAGAATTAAAAAAAAGAGTACATTAGAATCTGCAGACTGTGAAACATTGCTTTTTTACAATCACTTAAAACTAAAAGCATTGTATATTAATGAGTATTGTAACAAAAAATAATGTATATATGCCCTACCCAATAATCTGTCTCCAAAATGATTTGTTTGCAAATCCAACTGAGAGGTGAGAGGGTGCATTATACTACCCTCCTCATTTTCCTCTTATTAGAATATGAGAAATTGGCCTGACACACATATGTATTTGAAAAAAAGAAGAGCATTTTAATAGTCTATTCAGAAAATTGTGGCTATTCTTTAATACCACATCAAACTTTCTGAGTAACAGTTTCTTTTTTTCTTTTTTAAAATTTTATTTAAAGTCAGTAACAGTTTCTTAAAGATTGGTTGTGATGTGGAATCTGAAGCCACATTATACTGTTATATTAAAATCTGTTGGTCTCACATATGCTTCACATAGATCTTTTACATGTGCATGGTTTAGTAACATCAGAGATTGGTCATTAGGAAATATCAACTTATTGATTTATATACACATTTTCTAAATGTTGGCTTATTTGATAATATATCAAAAATCGCACCCATCAATATTAAGAGACACCAAAATTTTATAATGTCACTAGTGCATCAAGGATACCCAGAGGGAAACAAATTTGTTTTACAATTATGTAGTGGTTAATTCAGGTGGAGACTGTATATTCTGTGGGCCTCACTGCCTTAATTCATCTTATGGGGCCAGAATTTTACGCTTAATTAGTTTTTTTTTTGCGTTGGTTTTATTTTGCTTTTTTTGTTTTACAGAGTCGGAACAGAATGATTTGTATTGTTTTTCTTTATTTTCTTAATTTATCCATACTCTACGTGTTCTAAAACATGCCTATCATAACTATGTAATTTAATGGATTTTATGTATTTACAGATTTGTATAACCAGCCCCCACAGTTCAATTTTAGGATACTCTGATTAACCAAAAGTTCTGTCATTCTTGTTTACAGTCAAATTCTGCTTCCATTTTCAGCCCCAAATACTAAACTCTTTCTGTAAATATAACTTTTCTTTATATGTCACAGTAAGGAATCATATGCTATGTGGTTTTCTGAATATTGCTTTACTTATCATAATGTTTTTGAGATTCATCCATGTACTATGTATCAATAGTTCACTATTTTTATTACTGAATAGTACTTCTTTGCATGAATATATTTTATTTTGTTTATTCTTTTAAAGTAATGTGAGAATTGGCCAAGGGAGAAATCAAAACCTTCAAGGCAGTTTCATAAATAAGAGTATTTAAGAAACGTTACCTAAAGCGGCTGTGGCTGGAGCAAGCTGCAGCTGCCCCAGGGGGACAACCATCAGCATCTCCTGAGATCCGAGCCATGTTGAAACTTGGGGCAC